CATGTGGGCTGCTTTTACTTTAAGAATGCTTAGGACAAATGTCTGAAGGAGACTGCTTTCAGCACTGCTTGCTTAATATAATCTAACTACTTAATGTAATCGTGCACAGGAAAAAAAAGTATAATGGAAATAACAATATTGGCTATGCAGACACATCAGGAACTCACTGGACTTCAGCTGTCTCTGTAGCCTACGTTAGGTTGTCAGTGGACGGACCACTCTTATCTCAGAGTTGTAAAAGCACAAACAGGAGTTTGCTCTCCAGGCCTCATTTGTACATTTCCTTCCTGTAATTCTTGCATTAGAAAGGCTCTTAAGCTTTCACACTTTCTCTGATCTCCCCCCCCCCCCCAGCTTCCTTTTCTTTACACAGAATTCCTGGCTCAGGGTGAGCTGCCTGTTCTTTCCTGAGAGATTAATTTCCTCAGAGAGATGCGTTTAGAGGAAAGAAAAATGGGTTCAAAACAGCAGGACTCGAGAACTCTGCTAAATCAGGTTTTTATGTAGCTCGATAAAAACAATTTTCAGTAGGGCTCAAGGTTTGTCGTTGAATCTGAGCCCAGCTGTCACAAGGGCTCAGCAATCAATATTTTGTTCTGCTAGTCTATTTAGAAGCTTCTAAGGGCAGAAATCAAGTCTTGTGGGTCTAATCACTGTACAGGCCTCAAACAGAGGCAAAGCCACTTGTGAGCACATAAACATTGTTAGTTCCACTGTGGATTGGGGCTGATGCCCCCCATCCGCCCCACATTGTACCCAAATGTTAGCAACTATTATAGCATTCATATTATTTAGTAACTACTACTGGAAATGCATATAAACTGCTTTAATACTTTAAACTAACCTAAAACGGTATACAAAGGAATAAACAGCACGCCACACTTAATAAAACAATATAAAAACAGCATGAAATGCAGTTCTACTGCTTCACAGTGGCCAGTCATATAAATGACCAGCGTCAGTACTCTGACAATGCTCGAGTGAACAAAAAACAGTTTTAGTTTAATCCAAAAACATGCCTTATTTCCAAAGTGAAAGTGTTCTGCTTGGCAGGTGCCACCACACAAAAGGCCCTACTACTCCATGTAGCTGCAAGATGGATCTCAGGTAGAGATCTGACCACCCAACATCTTTTCATAGATTATCTCTTTATATGTATTAGGGGGTTGCCATGCCCTCAAGATGTACCTGTAGCTAGAGCATTTAGAAGCAATCCTATCTGCTTCAGATCTACCCTGTGCCGTCCCAGGGATGGGTCCAAACCTGATCCGTTAAATTTGAAGGTCTGTTTTGCCCCTATTAGATTCCTGAGGAATCTAAGAATGAATATTTTTCTTCCCTTTTAACGTGGAAAAACCAAGACAAGAGACTTTCCAGAAGGTTGAACACCCTCTGATCTGCCTTGGTAACAATGTGAACCAACTCAGCGATGTGAAAGAAACCCCCAACATAACTCTGATTCGCCTCATTATTCAGGACACACAAAGTGCAGAGATGAACACCCCTAATATCTATTGCACCAACATCATCTGCATGAGCTATCTTTGTCACACTCAAATAGGACCAAGAACACGGTGTGAGCTATGCAGAGCAACAGAAAGAGGGGTGAGGATATGCCGTTCAATGGGTGGAGCTATCATATGGGGCAGAGGGGCAGTTCTCACATAGATCTCGGGATGTGGAGGAAATAAGTGGAATCTGGGGAAATGTTGGGGTGGAGCAGCAGTGGGGCAAGCCTTTCAGGCACCTGGGGTGGGGCGATCTACCCATAGGGATGGGGCATGTGGTGCACACAGGGGCAGGGCGCTAGGCGCTCATAGGGACAAGACTGTGCCCCTAGGGACGAGATGGGGCGTGCGGCACCCATGGGAACGGGGTACGCAGCGGGGCCTCAACCTCCCTACAACTGGGGGGGGGGGCGGACAGCGCAGAGCCTGCGAGCGCTGAGACGCGTGGCTTGTGCATGCTGCAGGCCCCGCGGTGACGAGTGCTGCTTGCCATTTTGTCACCCCCCGTCAGGGTGGCACACGGGGTGAACCGCCCCCTCCCCCCCTTCGTATGCCCCTGGGATGGAGAACTTGACTCGTGCCCCACCCACTGCTATCAATGGGTCCCTGTTATATCCAATCGAACACTTTCCTGACTCTTCATAATGATGGACATTTCATTAGCTAGTCATATGAACCACAGTGTAAAGCAGTGCATACATTGAGCCTCAGACCTGCAGAAGAAATGCAACTATCTCCTCAGGCCATGTCCCTCCCCAGACCACACTCCAGACTGACCCTGCTGCACACTATCCTCCAGTGCTTTTGCTGGGCCCTGAGGAACTGAGCCGGACCCTGCCATCATCATCTGAGATCCTTCTTCAGGTGCTTACTTCATGAGAGGTCCAGATGGTAGCAACACAGGAACAGGCCTTTCCTGCGGTGGCTCCCCATTTGTGGAATGCTTTCCCCGGGGAGACTCACCTGGCGCCTTCATTACATATCTTTCGCCGCCTGGCAAAAAATTTTCTCTTCAACCGGGCCTTGGGCTGATTAACATTCTATGGACTTTTAAATGTGTCTGTGGGAGGGGTGTACGTGTTTTGCTTTTGCTTTATGTTTTCATTTTGTATTTTTACATTGCAAACTGCCCTGTGAAAGGCAGTAAACAACAACAACAACAATAATAATAATGATTATGATGATGATGTGTCATTGAAGTGTGATAATACCTCTTGCTAGTCTGAATGTATGATGGAATGAGGTGGGAGGGTCCATAGAAACGTATGGCTTTTGTGTGGCTGGAACGTAGCCTAGGGTTGCCATACGTCCATCCAAAACAGTGACTGGGCGGAAATTGTGTAAATGTCCAGGAATATCTGGACATATGGCAACCCATGTCGGAAGTTTCCCAAAAACCAAATTTCCCAAAAACCAGCTCAAAAACTTACATATTTTAGATCTAGCCTAATATTGTACAAAAGTATGAGCCATATACATTGGTCTATCCACAGTCAGGCTTCAGGGAATCTGATCCCCCTCCCTCACAGCAGTCTGCCAGTAATGGAAAGACAAGAAGCTCTTACCAATGTCTTTGATTCAATATTCACAGAGACGTAGGAATGCCAGCTCTCTTGGATAATGGCATTACTCTGAGTAAAGCCCCACCCCCTCCGTCTCTCCTATTCTATGTCACCCCTACATTGGCTGATCTGTACTTTCTGCCTCTGAGCTTTCTGTTCTCCTACTTTCAATGCCCGCCAAGTCCTGGGAAGGGGAGGGTCTGGAATGCTTTCTAAAGACATTGGGTCTGTCAGCTGTCTCTCCCCTTCTTCTTCTTCCTGCTCCTCTCCCAATATTTCCCAGCTTCTCCTCTCTACAGCCTCTGAACTGTGACCTTCTACAAACCACTGTAAATCTATACCGTCTCCCTCTTCTCTGTGAAGTGCGGGGGGGCGGGCGGGGCGGCAGTCTCCACCATTCCTCCTCAGTCCAGTCCCTGACATCCACTTTCCCCCACAACACCCACAACAGAATGCAGTCAACCTTCCAAGATCACAAATTCCAGTGGTGGGCAGGGCCCGAGGGAAAGTGGGTGAGGGTTCTTATCAATGAAGTTGATCCTGACCTATCAATTTAGTGAAACGGGGTAGAGACCCATTCTAAGTTTCCTCAGAGAAGCTGTAGCCCTTACTAGAAAGAAATTCCCACCCGACTCTGTTAATTTAGTCCTGGTGGCTGTTTAGTGTGTCAAAGTCAGTGTCAGGCTACTCTTAGGCATGAGTGTGCAGAGTTCAGTCCCACTGATTTCAATGGGATTTGCTCGTTCTAAATAAACGTGCCTAGCATCAATTGGGAAGTTTTTCTCCTTGCCGTCGGCACAGTACGTCACCACTTTGACTAAATTAATCAAGGCAGAAAATTGCACGAATGATCATTATTACACTTGCTGAAAAGAAATGTGTCAAAAATATGTATTATACAACTTTTTTTGGAAAAATTAGTCTCTCTAATTTTTGATAACTGTTTTGACAGAACCCATAGGTAGCTTTCATTTAACCATGTTGCTTTTTTAAACGGAGCAAACTGAGATCCTTATGTGGGAAGTGCATCTTTTATTCAAACCAACCTTGTTTAGCACTACACCTGTCAGCTTCCCTTTACAATATTCTGATTGTGCCGATTTTCCTTTCCAGCCCTGAAAGTGGGCGGCTGTGACACCCTCTATGCTCCAATCAGAACCTCGTGCAGTCATATCACCACTAAGTAATGACACCCTCAAGCTGACAGGCTTCCAAAATCCCCCCCTTTCTTTAAGGTCTCACAACTGGTGCAAATCCTCGTAATTGATTTGGATTATGGGGCTGGTAATACAGCACTGACTAGCAATTAATGCTAACATTTTAGTCTCATTTCGTGCTGTCAAATACTTTTGACACTTGTTTTATGTGCTGGATTGTCAAGTATGGAGCCACTTGTCTCATTATATGCTGATTGGCCTCCTCCCTTTCAGATTGCTGTTGCAAACGACGTTCCTATTTCTTTTAACACTTTATTGAGGGGAAGGGGATGCAAATGACAGGCAGGGATAGGCAACAGAGTGCCCAGCGGATGCTGCTGGACTATATCTCCCATCGTCCACACCCACTGGCAATGCTAGCTGGGGCTGATGGGAGTCCAACAACATTCAGAGCACAACAGGTTCCTCATCCCTGCTCCAAAGGAATCTCGCAAGTCATGTAGTGTTTTTGCAATAGCAGGATTCCCTAATACAGAACTGGCGCATTCTAGTGGTGAGGAATGTTAGACAGGACATGGCCAGTCATTAACTCATGAGTAGCCTTAAGTATGGGTGGCACTGTGATCTAAACCACTGAGCCTCTTGGGCTTGCTGATCAGAAGGTTGGCGGTTCGAATCCCCGCGATTGGGTGAGCTCCCATCGCTTGGTGCCAGCTCCTGCCAACCTAGCAGTTCGAAAGCACACCAAAAGGTGCAAGTAGATAAACAGGTACCACTCCGGCAGGAAGGTAAATGGTGTTTCCGTGTGCTGCTCTGGTTTCAGTGTTCCGTTGTGCCAGAAGCGGCTTAGTCATGCTGGCCACATGACCCGGAAAAACTGTCTGCAGACAAACGCTGGTTCCCTTGGCCTGTAAAGTTAGATGAGCGCTGCAACCCCAGAGTCGTCTGCAACTGGACTTAACTGTCAAGGGTCCTTTACCTTTACCTTGAGCCTTAAGTAAGCCAATCTATCCCAGCCTCAACGCCTCGTTTGCAGTATGAGAATTTTATTTATTTATTTATTTATTTATTTATTTATTGTTATTATTATATTTTTATTTTGCTAAATATACATAATTCCTAGATGATTTACATGAGATGTTAAAACCAATACCGTTACTCATTTCCCTTCCAGCAGGAGCAAGCCAGCAGGAAATCACACCGAGCAACTTGGAGTCAACTCTTTATTAGCAAAAACAGGATCTGCACAGGAGTGTCAGGCCTAATGAGCACAGCAACTCATCTCCGGTAGGTCTGGCCCCCTTGCTGAGATTGAAGGTCCCTGCCTCCCCACAGCTGCCTAAGTCCCCTCCTCTCCAGAGTTTTCTCCAAGCAATCTGAGACTGTGCCTGCATAAAGCTAACTTCTCCTCCACCCTCTTCATGCCTCGCTTGGTTCTGGGAGAACGGGGGGAAGGGAGCTTTTCACAGTAGGAGGGGGAGACACTTGTAACTCTTCACCAGCCAGACTCATTGCTGCCTCTTGGCCTCCCTCCTCTCCTGCCTCTGATTCTGGACTTCCCTCTGCCACAGACTCTCCCAGCTCACTAAGCCCTGTTACCTCTTCAGCTTCTGACACATCCTCCTCCCAGTCTTCTTCCTCTTCTCCCTCAGACCACTCATCATTGTCCCACCACCAATCCCCAGGCTCTGAGCCTTCATCCCTTCAGGGTTCCCCAGCTGGTTCCTCCTACTATTCTTCTGTATCCAGCCAGTCTGTGACACCTTACAGAGTACCTTATAAAACTGTTCAAAACCAATTTTGCTGGAAGCCGCATTGAAGAGGGGGTTGAAGGAGAATCAACTTTCTCCCCCATGCACACTGCCAGTGGGACCCTGATTTCATCGTGTTTGAATTATTTTTATTAGTTAAATTTAATGCTTGCCTTTTTTTTTTTTTGCCAAAGGCAACTCAAAGCACCTTACAACCAAATAAACAAACAAAAACCCACATAGATACATTACATCCCCCCCAGTACATTAAAGTAATACATTTAAAATACATTTAAACCCTATAATGAAGAAAATCATGAATCTCTTGGTACCTTTTATATGATTTGGCATTCCTTTTGACATATACAGAGGTGCCGTCATTTTAAAGACAATGATCTTTACCTTGATCATCTTTACTTGGATTTTGTTATTTTATTATTATTATTATTTTGGGAGGGGGATATGGAAGGGACGTGCGCTCCAGACCTTTATTTTTTATTTTTATAGTATTTTCATTAAGTTTTCAACAAAAGTAACAAATGCAATAACATTCATAAACAAAAAAAAAATATACATAAAACCATATCACTTCCATAAAGTGGGATTCTCTGAATCCCATGACTCCCCTCCCCCACTCGCATTCCTGATTCCCTAAATTTCTTATCAACTGCATATCATTTCTACTCCATTTTTTTTCTAACCTCAGATTTCCTATACTATTTCTAAAATTACAAGTGTTCTTAAAATCCTATCAATGTACAGTGGTACCTCTGGATGCGAACGGGATCTGTTCCGAAGCCCCATTCGCATCCTGAAGCGAATGCAACCTGGGTCTGCGCATGTGCAAGTTGCGATTCGCCGCTTCCGCGCATGCGTGTGACGTCATTTTGAGCGTCTGTGCATGCGCGAGCGGCGAAACCTGGAAGTAACGCGTTCCATTACTTCCGGGTCACCGCGGAGCGTAACTTGAAATCACTCAACCTGAAGCATATTTAACCCAAGGTATGACTGTATTTACATTGGGATTTTGCTATTTTGACTCGCGTGCAACTCATGTGCTTGTTATATAGTTTTCTTATTATATTTTCATTTTTTTCCTGTTGCTCTAATTGTTCTCTCTGTTTTATATACATTATAAAATAAACTAATAATAATACAAACTTTTTTAAAGAGAGAAGCATTTTAAATTCCCCACCCACTCCAAGAGGCCACAGATGGTTAGAGGCCAGAGGCCTGGTAAAAGAGGAATGTTTTCGCCTGGCACCTAAAGATATATACGAATAAGATAGGGCACCTATCAAGGCAAAAACACAGAATGGAGCAGGAGATAAATGAAAGAGGAAGAGGGGGAAAGTTGGCAAGGGAGAAGACTGGCACTGCAGCAATCTGGAGTGTAATTGCAGCATCAGAGGGCCATGCTTGGGAGTGGACATTTTCGATTTGTTCCATGTTGCAAGCGATTTTCAGGTTCATTCCCAGCTGAACCTTTCCAGTAACCTTTGCTGCTTCAGTCCAGACTATGCAAGCAACTTGAGCTATATGATAAACTAAATCACATTTAAAATTGGCCATACTCTACTGTCTTCAGGCTAAACTTCCTAATATGAGCTCTTTCCACTAAATGTGTTGGAAAGTCTTCCTGGCTGTTTCTATTGGAATCAATTTGCTTTCTCTTCCAACATGACGAAATACATTTGGGGCTGCTGTAATGCAAACCAAAAAGATATTTCAACCTCCTATAATTTGCTGGATTTTAGCATTGGATGGAAAAGACATCTTCAAATAAAATGTCACTGTTTTGGACACCTCCCACTTTGTCCTTTGCCTGTGTGGTATTATTGACAAGATATCTATATCATAGCTTTGTTGATGGCTTACTCACATATACTGAGCAACATGAATGGATAAAATGTGCACAAATTATCTAAGGAGGTGTGGCAGAGAGAAGGATTAATTGTTATGTAATTGGAAAGTCTCCCTGATTTCCTTTCTTAGTACAAAAGCATCACTGTGTTAGAAAATTCACAGTTGAGTTAAATGGTGTTAGAGAAGATGTAGTAAAAGCTTAATTTCTTGCTATTAAATCACATTTTATTTAAACAGCAAACACACCACAAAACATCACTAACATGACATGCGATGTGAATGCTTTGAATTTGCCCTGCTCCCATTCTATGTATGTAACATGCAAATCGGGCCTCTTACCAACTAGCCAGCTATATATAGTGAAGATATATTGCAGCTTATTACGATAACTCTGTATCTTCCTTAAAAGCCAGGCTTTCCCCCCCAGACAATCTGAAGCCAGCATTTATTAGTTTTATATTCCTTTAATGATTCAAACTTCCCTCCACCCCAATCCCCTTATTTGGTACATGGCATTTTATGAATTTAACAGTTTTTATTAATTTAAGAGGCTTCCATTGAGCAATAAAATGGCTCAGCGTGACAACGAAAGTGTCATAAATGAATTGATTTGTCACCTATCAGTGGTGATTTCATTATTGCGGCTATTTCCTTTCAATTATCTGCAGATGGAAAGATGCTGGAATAACATCCCCATTATCAATTGAAAGGGATAGGGAAATGTGAACAGTTTCCACACACATACATTCCCCCCCCCCCTTCTGATTATTGATGCCTTCCATTAATTTTTATTCCTAGAGGCAGAATCTTCCTGGAGATAAACAAGATATTTTATTCAAATGGGTTTGTGTGAGAGCTGGTCTCCAAGGCAAAAGGGAGATAAGCAGCAGAAGATTTCCAGCACAGTGGCTGCATCCACATAATAATGCTGCTTGTGGGGAAAAAAGTGGGGGGGGGAGTTGTTTTGCTTTTCCAAGTGGATGGCTGATGCTCAGCAGGTACTGGTCTGCCATTAAAAAGAAGGAATAGGGATGTTGTTCATATTAGAATGCAATCTGCTACACTGGTCTACAGCTAGTGGGCTGTGACTTGATCTACAGTGGATCATACTAGCAGCTTTGTGGCCGTGTTTTGCAGAGTGGAAAAAGAGGGAAAGAGGGAGATGGATGCAGAGAGAGAGGTGAGGAAGGAGGGGGTGGGAGGTGTGTGTGTGTGTGTGGGTGTGTGGGTGTGTGTGTGTGTGTGAGAGAGAGAGAGAGAGAGAGAGAGAGAGAGAGGAAATCGTATTCTTGTGGCCATCAAATGAGATTATTCTCTCGTCTTTAATAGCTAAAGAAGCTTCCCCAGAGAGCATTAATGACTTAGAAGATATTTCTTTAATGTACGTTGATGGCTGGTGGGTACTAACAAGACGCACACTACCTGTTTGGCAAAGTAGCCATATCAGAAGCTCATATGGCTGGTCACCACCTCTCACCTTAACTTAACTCACAGGCTGTTGGGAAGATAAATGGAAGGGAGCTCTTTTTGGGATACATAATAAATAAGCTCTAAACTCTGTTTGAAGGGACAACACCATTATTGCCAGACGCTGCTTCTATATTTCACTGGCAGAACAGAAGGTTGAGGGGGGGAAACAGCTTGAAGCATGGAAGACATTTATAAAGCTGGCATAAATTCAAGGTGAATGGCAATTTCAGCTTCTGCCTTGAACATGTCATTACCTCACTGACCTCTAATTGCTAATAAAGGTTTATTATATACCTAGTATTAAAAATAGCCTGTCTGGAGTGTGTGCAAAGAATCTTCCCTCATGTTAATTCTTTGACAAGTCATGAATGTCTCCATTAGGCAGCTTCTGAATGGGAGAAGGATTTTTTTTTTAACTCAGCTGGGACAATCCAATTGTTCTGGAATCTGTCTTCCACAGAGTGCTGAAATAGAGAGAAAAAATATTTGCCAGAAGACATCCATCCACCCATCAGTACTTTCACAAGTCAACCCACTGAATCCAGACCATAACGAACTGCAATCAAAGAGCAGAACCTCTGCGAAAAGGCAGGTGCTTCCCAGTGCCCCCAGCAAGTAACATATTGGACACTCTAGAAGGGCAAAAACTGCCATGCCCGTGAGATATCCTCAGATCCTTCATTGCATCTGTCATGAAAGTCATTGGCATTCTCTGCTCCCATGTCTGAGGCTGAGGGTCACTTCTAGAATTTTTGCCTCCAGTAAGAGACATTGATTTACAGGCATACCTGCATTGATCAAGAAAGTAACACACAGCACAAACCTATATAACAGAGGTGGCAAATCTTTGGCTCTCCAGATGTTGCTGCATTCCAATTTCCATCAGTCCCAGTCAGTATGGCCAGAGATTAACCACACTTGCTAGCCATGGTTAAGCAGAAGTAAGTACCACTTTGTTCAATAGGACTTACGCACAGGAACACATCTCCTGCCAACCTAGCAGTTTGAAAGCACGTCAAAGTGCAAGTAGATAAATAGGTACCAGCGGGAAGGTAAACGGCGTTTCCGTGCACTGCTCTGGTTCATCAGAAGCAGCTTAGTCATGCTGGTCACATGACCTGGAAGCTGTACGCCGGCTCCCTCAGCCAATAAAGCAAGATGAGCGCCACAACCCCAGAGTCAGTCATGACTGGACCTAATGGTCAGGGGTCCCTTTACCTTTACAGGAACACATGCATAGTAGAACTGCAGCCTTAAGCACCT